AAATTATTATGAACACTAACTTTGGCCAGTGTTTGTGACAAACTGGCTACTAAAAAAGACTGAACATACCCCATTTGCAATACTTTGGGTTGTCTTCTTTTGCAAATTACACGTTTATTTATTACACATTAACGATGTCAAAAGAAAATGTAGTTTTTCATGTGGGTAATTCTCATTCCTAGGCTACCATACGCTCTCAAAGGCAACATAACCAATCTGTCAAATTTCAATGTGAAAAAAAACAACCTTATTTTTGACCCTGTAACTTTCAAAAACACTAAAAAATCTGTACATGGGGGGGTACTGTTATACTCGGGAGACTAACTGAACCCAACTATTAGTGTTTCAAAACAGTAAAACGTATTACAACAATGATATCATCAGTGAACGTGCCGTTTGTGTGTGAAAAATGCAAAAAATGTAACTTTAACTGAAAATATCATCGCTGTGATATGTTTTACAGTTTTAAAAAAATAATATTTGTGCTCAGCGAAGTCTACCGAGTAAAACAGTACCCATGTACAGGTTTCTTGGAAAGTTACAGGGTTAAATATAGTGCTAGCAAATTAAATTCTCTGGACTTTTGGCCTGGGTTGTTAGGGTGGTCCCTCAAATTGCAATCAATAAAATAACTTAATTATGTACAAATATTACATAAATATGCATGTAGAATTTAAATATATATACATATTTATATATTTGAAGTCTATGTGTATATTTATGAAATTATTTATGTAATTATGTATATGGACACATGTATATTTCATATTATTTTTATTTATTTATATATACATATATATATAATTTAATTTTAAGTGTATTTTGAGATATATATATATATATATATATATATATATATATAGCAAAATACACTTAAAATTAAATTACATATATATATTTTTTTATTATTTTTACATTTTATATTTATTTTTAAATAATTATTTAAATAATTATTTATTTTTTATAATATATATATATATATATATATATATATATATATACTGTACATGTGTAATTTTACTCCAAGTGTATTTTTATGTTAATATACACGTGTATATATAGATACAAATATATAAACAGGTATATATTTTTTTCAATTTATTAACTATTATTATTATTTTTTACTTTTTTCACCACCAGAACAACTACAGCTTATTATATTTGTTCTGGTGCGTATACTCATCCCCTTAAACCTTTTGCAGTAAACACTGTCTTTTCAGAGAAAATGCAGTGTTTGCATTACAGCCTAGGGGTACCTCACCTGGCCACTTCTCAGGAGACTACTAGAGGTGTTCTCTGGTGCAGTGCTGCACAGTGTGCTGCACTACCATTCAGTGTCTCCACCCTCTGCATCCAGACACTGAACTTTCCTCATAGAGATTCACTGATTCAGTGCTCCTCTATGAAGAGATGCTGGTTGGCTAGGGCTGTGTTTGGCTTGTGCTGGCTCTTCCCCTGATCTGCCTCCTTGACAGTCTTAGCCAATTCAGTGCTTTCCTATGTGAAAGCATTGTGATTGGCTGAGAGAATCACTTCTCATGATGTCAGCTAAGCAGGCAGATCAGGGTCAGAGTCAGCAGCAGACTGGATTAAATGTAAGATTTTGCCACTATAGGGTAAGGAATACATGTTTGTATTCATGGCCCTACAGTGTCCCATTAACCTGTTCAATATCAGTTTATCATGTCTTCCTCCATGTCAAATTGTACCAATTATTTTTTAATTTCTGTATATCTGCAGATAATATGACAATTTGTTTTGCTCTGTGATTGGTTGATATTAGCTACACCAGTCATAGTTCTGTATTGCTCAGTCAATGACAGTGTCCAGTTCAATAGATATCCCCACTGATGGTAGGACAGAAGTGGAAAGCTGGAAATAGGTGATTGAGAAAAGATTTAATGCTGGTAAGGTGTCTACTTCTTTGCTTTATTTGCCTTGTGCATGCTGAAAAGGTAGATTTTAAAAATGAAGGTATCTTGTTTACATTACTTTTAACATTTATTTTGCTTTACCATATAAACAGTTTATCTAACAGAACTTATTAAACCAAGCACTAGTATATTTATTTTTCCTTTTTTTTAGTTCATATTGACAGCACCTCACTGTGTAATGAGTATTTATAAAAACACACTGTGTATGTATGAGCAATTCGACTTTTGATCAGCTAGAGCACGTGTCCCATTACTTACACAGGCTTACATTTTCACTAGATATTTGTAACTTTTGATAATATTTCAATGATTACTAAACTTGTCATATTACAGATGACATTAAAGGGTTACTCCAACCTTTTTTTATTGAATATGTATTTAAATCTATAGTGGCCCACTTTATAAACCTGCAAAACAAGAATTAAGTTACCTGGAATCCGGCATAGGCCAAAGCTCCTTGCTGGTTTTACAACCCCCCAATCGGATTTCCTGTGGAATTCCTTTCCCTTCTCCTTTAGACGTTCTCCCAATGGTCTTTCCTTCAAAAAGCATATTAATTAAACTGTTATCTTAGCCCCCGCACCCTGATTCCTCTCCTGCAACTGTCATATAGTGAATACTATTCCAGCATCCTAGTTTTCTACCTTACCCTTACCTTTTGTGTCACTAAACCCCTCTCCCTCTAGCATGTAAGCTCATTGAGCAGGGTCCTCAATCCCCTCTGTTTCTGTGTGTCAAACTTGTCTGGTTTCAGTTTCGTGTTTGTTCATCCACCCATTGTACAGCACTGCGGAATTTGTTGACGCTTTATAAATAATAATAATAATTAAGGTAACATGTTCAGGGTTGCAACTAGTGTCAAGTGCAAAATTGCAGATTACACTGTATGTCCTGGAACTATGCACATACTAATTCCTTACTTCAGGAACACTTCTGAAAACAGGTGGTCATGGAGGATCTAAAAACCCTTTAATGGTACATACATGCTAAACATTTAGTAATAGTGTAAACAGAATATGTTTTATTTTACACAGCGCTGTATTTTGTAATGAACTATCTATGGTTTATTGTAAAGTGCTGCGGAATAAGCTGGCGCTATACAAATACCAATAATAATAATAATTACCACCACGACAATTGTCACCCTGAAAACATGGTCACATAGCCTGAGTTGTGCATCCCGGTAAAGGAAGATACATAACTCTAACACAGGCATAGGCAACCTTCGGCACTCCAGATGTTTTGGACTACACCTTCCGTGATGCTTTGTCAGCATTATGGGTGTAAGAGCATTATGGGGGATGTAGTTCACAACATCTGGAGTGCCGAAGGTTGTCTATCCCTGCTCTAACACCTTCTGTTCTGATTTTAATTAACATGGCATTAATGTGGAAAAGGTTACTTTGTTCATAGGGCTGCAATGAGAACGTGCCTTCTTCTTTAATAAGACCCCTGCAGACTAATAAATTATAAAGCGATCAGCCATGAGAACACAATAACAACTTAGCTGGGTAAAGGACATTTCTAGACAGTTCTATTTCCTTAAATATTATAAATATAACAATTGTGTCTGTACAAAACTAAGTATAAAATGAAAATATGACATTCGGAATAAAACACAAACACTGCATTTATGTACGGCAATCAGAGTTATTCACTCGTAAACGTGATTTATCAAGGGCAGTAAGGCTATTCAAATAGTGAGACTGTTTATGCAGACACAAGATTTCTGTCAGCTTTGGAATAAGGTTCTTAATTAGTTGTGTTGTCTCTATAAAATGTTCCCTTAGCACATGTATAAATATATTAGCAGTCACATGATGCACAGAATTTAATGCATCTTTGTTTAAAACGAACCACTCGCCCATAAAAAATAATGAATTTCTTTGTCTGTGAGACAGTGTCCTCCTTTATTTGATATATTCTTTTCTTGAAGTCCTTGAATTAACACATTAAGATATAGAACTTGCAGCATTTAATTGATATGGTTTCATGTGAAAGGGTATAATACAAATGGTAAACAGGAAAAAATATATAATAAAACTGCTATATTTCTCCACTCGGATATTCATTAGTCCAGTAATGACTAGTATAGAGTGAGACAACGGATGGTCTAGATATTTGTGTATTTTATTTGCTATTTACTAGAAGTAAGGGGATTTTTAAAATCCATTTATAAGCCCACATCACGATCAAATCACAACTTTTTATTGTGGTGTGAGAATCTCCTGTCGGTTCTGGATTTAGGAATCATCACTGTTACGACATATGGGAAAGAAGAAAGTTCTACAGGGGATCAATATGTTTTTTATTTCAGGCAGGGGTGCTGAAGCAAGATTTGCCAATAGTCAGAGTAATCCGTTACCTTCTGGAGCTTGTCTACTATAGGCACTTACAGTGACTGCAAATAATAATTTTTTCTTTTTAGATCTTTTTCATTTTACTTGGCAGTTACATTTATGTTTTTTCTTTACTTATGGAGGCAGAAAGTGAGATATATATACTTGAAGACTGAAAGCCCAGGGCAGAGGTGGGCTCAGCTGCTTCAATGTGTCTTGGGATGAGGACATTAGCAGGTTTCCCCAAATAGCACAGCATTATATAAATCATGGTGCTGAGTGATTGGTTGGCACAAACATTGTTGTGGGACCCTGTGGTATGAAGGGCTTTGTATTGAAATTTAAAGGAACATTCCATGCACCATAACTGCTGCAGCTCGCTTTAGTGTTTATGGTATCAGCAATGCCCTGTTTGTTGAAATGTAGCAGATATGTATTAGCACAGTAGCGGTATGCAGACATCAGATCAGGGCACACATATGAAGCTTAGTCGGTGGTTTGCTTGAACAGGAACAAGCTAATTTAAAAAAATAAGAAACAAAACTTTGTTACTGCTCAAAGATAAAATGCCTGTTAGGGATGTGCATGGGAAAAATATTTGGTTTGGTTCGACATTCCTATATTCGGGACTTCGGTTCGGCACTTCGACACTTTGGAACTTCAGGAATTCGGGTAGGTGTAGGGTTAGGGTAGGTGTTGGGTTATTTTAGGGTTGGTTTAGGGTTATGGTAGGGTTAGGGTAGGGTAAGAGGTAGGAGTAGGTTTAGGGGCAGGGTTAGAAATAGGGTTACCCTACCCTAACCCTACCCCTACCCCAACCACTACCCCAACCACTACCCCTACCCCAACCCTTAACCCTACCCCTAAACCTACCTCTACCCCAACCACTAACCCTACCCCAGCCACTAACCCTACCCCGACCCCTAACTCCAACCCTCTCCTGTTTTGCCACTTTTCAGAAATCCGAAACACTTCGGCACTTCCGAAATTCGGCACTTCGGTTCGGCATTTGGAAATTCGGCACTTTGGACATTCGGAAGCATCCGAATATCCGAATTTCGTCCGAATTTGCATTCGGAACGAAACTAATTGCACATGTGTAATACCTGTGTAGCAAGAGAGCGAGTGAGGCAAGGCAAGAAGATAACATTCTTCCTCTCCAGCTCCATAAAGACTAGAGAGGATAGGCAAATGTTACCAGCAATTCACCACATTCACATTAGGAACTAGCAATTGTTACTAACCCAGGTGTCTCAAATGTAAGATCAAATGATGCTCTTAGCTAATGAGTTTAGCTCAACATTGCAGGGCTTAGTTTATGAGAGCTAAAGGTATACTTGCTTAGGGATAACCGTCTCTCAGGAGTTTGTTGTGGAGGCAAGGAGTGATGACCAGCACACCCCAGGTAAGAGCCAAACTGCTCAAAAACAGTTTGACTCCTTACAATAGAGAGGTGCATGTGCAAGCTATAGTGGTTATGGTGTATGGTGTGTTTCTTTAATATTGCTTATTTCCTCAAGTCTAAGGTGGCCACCAAAAAAACATGTACTCTACAATTGCACTTTGTAGGAGATAAAAGTATGTGGCTGGGATGAGACACGTGTGTTTGGAAGGGTGAGATGCAAGTGTGTGTGAGTGGAGGGGAATGATAAGTGTGTGCATGAGGATCACACGTGTGTGTTTGTGAGTGTGAGAAACTTTTTTGTGGGTGCGAGTCAAGTGATGATGAGAAGAGGAAGATTCACAATTGTAGTGAGGTGGGATAGAGAAAGTGGCAGGTGCGTGGAGAGAGGTAAAGAAGAAGGAGAACAGTCACAGAGTGATGTCCATGAAAAGAAAACCTATCATGTATGCAAACAAACATGTACACATTTACATTCAAAGACACAGACACAAATATATACTTGCATTCATACACCAACACTACTATGCCATACAAATAGCAGATCATCAATGAATCTTGAAGAAACATAAAATAGAAAAATATGAGGGCAGCGCTACAAATTGTATGTGTGCACACCAAGTGCTAGAACAACATTTATTTGAAGGACAACACGTACAATGGCGAACACTTCTGGTTCTCTACTTTCTCAATGCATGTCCGTACATAAAGAATGTGCACTGACCAATATATACATAACAAATAAGCAGGACCATAACACCCAACACCTCTGCTTTTCAAAGCAGCAGATTACAACACCTCATGATGTCCCTCCACCATCTTGGACACTCTCCCGGTCTCCCCGGCTGGATCCAGTGAGATCCCTTGTAGCTCGGTTGCTAAGAGATGATTTACCGAATTCCTATAGACAATATCTTTTACACAACCCTTTGCTATCCCCTATGCCATTCTAACTCCACTCAAGTATTATTCTGTTTAAGCTTGTGTACATTTATATATCTTTTTATATATATATATATATATATATATATATATATATATCTTGGTCTGAGGTTTACTCCTCATCTTAGCCCCTTTTATCCTTTATGTCTTCTCTTTATTGTTGCTTGATCTTATCAGAACTGGATGGTCATGGATTGCCAGATCACGCTGGAGGACACTAGAGAGTGTCCAAGATGGCAGAGGGACACTAGAATGGGTTGCCATCCCCTACTTTGAGAAGGGGAGGTGCTGGGTGTTATGGTCTGTCCTGCTTATTTGTTATGTTTATAGTGGTGAGTGCACATTCTTTATATAAGGACATGTATTGAGAAAAGAAAGAACCCGAAATGTTTGCCATTGCACTTGTTGTCCTTCAGATAAATGTTGTTGTAGCACTTGGTATGCACACCTACAATTTGTAGCGCTAGCCTTATTTTTTTTTCTATTTCATGCATTGATTTACCCTGCCTGGAGCTACAGAGGAAGGTACATGTACTACACAATAGGAACATTTTTTGTATTTGTGGGAATTGCAGTAACCCAGACCTCATTTTTCATAGTGAATCTTGAATAAATGAGTAGATACATTTTATAGAGGTAACCATCTTCAAAGAGACTTCCCATCAGCCACAAACTAGGTTGGCGTAAGAAAACTTCTTAGCACTTTATCATTCCAAGGTTTGATTCGATATTGATTTGATATTAATAATACTGTCATAGCAGGTGGCAAACATTAAGTATAAGTATAGCCTCTCGGTTTATTTTATAAAAGGTTACCAAAGAATGAAACATTCAAAATAATGAACTAGACATTTATTTGAGCCTCAGTTGTGTGGGATTTCTTTAATCTTACAAAGCAACAGAATATGAGGAGCTTACTGGATTGTTGAATAATATGTGTTTGAACACCGGTTGTAGAGGCTGCGGAGGAGAGACCATTCTGCTGCTGCAGATGTAGCATGGAAAGGGTGGAAGGCTATGCCACTAAGTGAGAAATATATATCTACTTTTAACTTAAGCCAGAAAACAAAAACAAAAAAACACTTTGGTGTGGGATATTAAAAAATGCCAGAGCTGTTAGATACATGAATTAAATAGATACTGGCATGTGGTGCTACATTATGGTGTAGATGTACAGTCTCAGAGTAGATTTCAAAGGAGAAAAAAAACTGTGACACTAAGCTCAGTAGTGGGTCAACTACAAGCAGCACACTGATGTACAAAGAAACACCGGATGCGTAAATGCTAGCACTTTGAAGAATAGCAGAAATAGCAGGTGCAGCTGTATTAGTAGGAAGGTTTTTTATCCATCCCTTGCCATGACTGAGACATGAAATGGAGCCAGGTCTGCCTGCCAAGGCCAGGACTTAATATTGTAAGAGAGGTAAGGGAATGGTTATAAAGTTTTTATATAAAAGGCTGAACTATATAGTGTTTAATGTTTCATTGTAGGTATAACTAAAACACACAATTCATGGTAAGCAAAATATGAAATGATTAGCAAAGGTCTCCATAGCTAGTGTCCAGAGTTCTGCAGTGAAATGTACTTCTAGAGATATGCTGGCTTTGAAGTCTGCATTCAGGATGCACTAGCAATGTATTTGCAGACAGATTATACTCCCTCTATTGCCAGTTGCCTTGTTTTCTTCCTTGTGCTGGATCTCAATATCTGGGTGCATCCATTTTGTTCTCCATTGTCCATAATGTCTGCTGTTTGCTTTTCATGGGATTTCTTTTGTTGCAATCTGCAGGTCTGCCATCAGAAATCTTTAAAAAATATTGGCTGACCCCCTCATCTACATACACACTCCTTGCAACATACACAGATGTACACATAAACTTATATACACACACTCTTTCAGAATACATACACGGTGTCAGATACAAATACAGAATGCTGTGCATGTTTACACAGTGCTAGAAACACACACATAGATTCACGCTGTCAGACAAACATGCCACACAGACACGTAGACACACAGTTTCAAACAAACACGCAGTTGGACATTACACAGCCAAATACACTCATACACTGTTAAACACACACACATAGCTAGAGGCTCATGCCCCCTTTGTCACACAGACACACAGCCAGACAACCACTGTCACACAGCCACACATGCATAGTCACACACAATAGATACACATACACTGTCAAACTGACATACAGCAGAAACACACACAGTCAGACACTTAGAAACACAGATTCCCAGCCTCTTCCTTCTAAGTAACATGCCTGAAATATCCCCTGCCGCTACCCTTTAGCCTCCCCCTCCAACATATCTACCTCACATGATGTGTATTGCCTATATAATTTTACCTCTTTATAAATCACTGGTAAGACGTAACCCTGAATATGCTTTTTTTTTTTTTTTAACATTTTTTCTTTATTGTTCACTCAGCATGTTAGCAGTACAGTGTAATATAGCATCATGACAGTAAGTTCACATATAAGTACATTCTTCAAAGACATCAGGGCATCAGAATTGTAAAAGACATGCTGAATGACATTTTTGTTTTTTTCTTCTAAATAATAAACAATAAAGTATAAAAAAACAAAACAAAAAAAAAAGGTGGCACAATAAGGTAAAGAACAAACTAGTAATCCGTCTAGGGTATAAATGCAGTTATGTGGAAGGCTCACGGGTTGGTGATGCTCAGTGAGGGGCTCACCTCCTTCCCAGTAGCCAATATAGTTACAGTGAGGGTGGTGGGGGGGGGCAACATGTTTGCCAGTGAGGGTGGTGGGGGGATGCTAGAATCATTAATGATGAAAATGCCACATTACAATAACATGTTTGATTAAGACTAACCACTAACCAGTTATATCCATATAATGAATAATCACAGATAACACAGTGCTGTAAGATAAAAAGACAAAAGTAAAAATAAAAATGAAAAAGATTTTAGTGTAATGAAAAAAAACACAAACATATGTGGAGCTGCAGACCACAGTGAGAGCCAGTTCATAGTGGTGGGAAGAGGGAGTTTCTCAAATTCTGGAGCTTATTCTCAACGCTCCCAGCTCTTCATGTCGACTCTTGCGCAGAGGCTGGTCACTGAGATAAGCGAGAGGTGAACTCCGCAAACCTAGCAGGATCTAACTGGGAAAGACTGGAACTTCTCTTGCCTGGGTGATCAGCAAGGCCCAACTTTTCCTTGAGGGTTTCCAATTTTGGATAGCTGCGGGATCTGCAAGTAGTCCCCTAGTAAGTAAACAGGATCACCTTTGGTATACCCGAGTGATAAGGTATGTCCCTAAGGCACAGCTTTTGCAGAAGGAGTTGTAGGGATTTTCTTCAGGTGACGGTGCTGCGTGTGAGGTCTGGGAAAATTAACAGATTTGCCCCTTCAAAGGCTAGGGGGGTCTAACCTCGGACCGCAGCCAAGAGCAGGGCTTTGTCGTGGGGCATGCAAAGGTAAAATTTACTTACCTGAACCTGTCCCTCGCATGCATGGCCATCTTAATCCGGTTGGAGCTCTTCCGAGCCAAATTCATTGCTGTACTCTCACCC